GAAGGACACTTATCATCCACATCTCTTTCAGGTTGGGATGTGTTTGGTTTGACAACAGAAATGTTATCCCTTGAAGAAGGATTGCTTCTTTTTTGAGGGCTTGCTCAGGTATTAAGTGATTACCAGTATATCCTGTGCACACATCAGAGAAGTATTACATTGATGAGAGATCCTTACATACAGCCTAATCAATCAGCAACTTATTTTGTAGATCCTTTGAGGAGCTGAGCAGTGAACATCATGGTATTGATGGAAATTAATTTTGATTTGGAACCTGGAGATTATTTTACCTCTTAAAATAATTAAATGACATGCTAACTTAACCAAAACAAAAAGGTAACAGTTTTATGAAGTCTTTCTATTCCTTTTATTTTCCACAGAAATGGCAGGATATTATAAAGGAAGTCAAGTTCCTCCAAAGAATAAAACACCCAAACAGTATAGAATACAAAGGCTGCTATTTGCGGGAGCACACAGCGTGGGTAAGTGTTGCTGCCCTCTGCGCGTCCCGCCTTGGCTCAGGGCATTTGAAAATATCTCTAGCTGGCTTTGAAGAGGCACCTGGACACTTGCATTGCACAGACTCAGAAGAGAAGAGCCCAGGACCTCGAAGCAAAACTGAACTGAGTTTTTGGAAACAAGGTTTAGGGAGATTTTCCCTTTCACTTGCAGAGTAAGGTGATTGTGCTGCTGCTCTAGTGTATTTAGCTTAGTTCATATTTAAATGAAGCAATAAGGGAGAGAGAGGCAATAAACTTATCCCGTCACTTTTCTTGCCCTATGGAAAGGTGAGAATTTCACTTGTACTGCCCAGGAGGCAAGTATGGCACCTTTATTAGAGAATCCGGGTAATTTAACAGTGCATTTGGTATGCCAGTTGTTTAACTAAATTCTTCTGTTCTATATTTTTACTTTTGTTGTAATTTCTGTGCATGTGTTCAGGTAACAAAACCAACCAGCTGGTTTTATCTCTAACTTCTAATTAATTTAATCCATTTGATTAAAAAGAACAAAAAAACCCCAAGTCCCCCAAACTAAGTTGAGGTATTTGAGTTTGTGTGCATAAGAATGTGTGTGTAGGAACAGATCTGATGGGCTATGCAGAGGAAGCCTTTCGTCAAACAAGAAGTGTGATGTACACTTGTCATTGATAAAGCTGTTGTAGTATGACATGCTGAAGAAATCACATTGTTGAACAAATAGTTCAAATTGTAAATACTGCCCATGTATTAGCTTCAGTAATTCTCTAGAACAAAGTTGTAGGGTTTGTTTGTCTTTTTTTCTTTTTGAAATCTTATTGGAACAAAATCTTAAGTAAATCCCTAAATAGCCCTTTAATACTCTGATAAGCTTGTTAAGTGCAATTTAACATTCCTTTTAAGTACATGCATATAAAATAAGATATGTAATACAGTACATGACTGGTTATGAATATGCTTTTGACTTCCTCACAAGCTTTTTTTTGTTGTTTTGCATTTATGCTAATTCCAGTAGAGCTGTCCTTGTGGGAGGGGCCAGTATGACAGTGCTAGGATGGGGTAATATTTGTTCTGTTCTGGCAGCCTGCATTGTGAGCACTAGTGGTCATTTTGTGATTTCTCCATAGAAGTCTAGAAAACATATATTTACTATTAGAGATTTTCTAACAACTCTTTTGATTTCTTCCAATGCAGCTTGTTATGGAATATTGTTTAGGATCAGCATCAGACTTACTAGAAGGTATGTCACATGTGTTTATTTGATTCAAAGTCAGAAATTTAGTACTGAAGTAGGAAGTTACAGCATCACAGGATTGTCCTTGAGTATTTAGTTTTATATGGGAGTAGAGTGTTTGTGAACAGGTACAATTTCTTAAATTCTTGCATGGCTGTGGTGTCTTCTCTGTAGAATATTTGCTTTCTCAGGTGCCCAGTCTCTCCTTGGTTCATATTATTTTAAAGTTGTCAGTCAGCTATTTTATTTTCTTCTGAGATTCAGGTTCTCTTGTCATGACAGTTCAAGATTTGTCTCTGCAAACCCTTGCTGTTGATCCTGATGCTTACTAACAGCTTCAGGCCTGTTGACTAAAATAGCACTGCATCAGTGTTAGGGCTTTGCTTGATGGGGCCTTTTGTTAAATGGTAATTTTTCTATCAGGCATCTTGAAGTGAACTTTCTTTGAAGAAATATGTGTGGCCAGTAAGTTGCTCATCTCCTTTCATTGTCAGAAGCATTTTAGGACATGAGGCTGAGCTGCCAGACAGGGATCTCTGTTGCTGCAGTTTAGTCCTGAGTGAATTGTCCTCAAGTTCTAGGGTTTGGGATTTAGCTTCATTAATAGAAAATGGAATATTGAGTCTCAAAGAGGTATTTGGGAGAAGGGTCACAGAACTGACAGGAATGTAGTTTATGGTTGCAAAGGAGTCTTGATAGTCAACAGCTGCCAGTTTACAGTTAGAACATTACATCTGATATAGAATGTGCTCTGCAATGTCAAGTATTTTTACATTTGCTTCTTATACTGACAATAGTAAAATTTAACTTTTAGTGATTTCTCTCTATTTACATTGTTAACAGTACTCACTTGCATACTGCAAACTGCATTGTTTTCTTTAATACTGAATTTCAAATAAATTCTCTCCTTAAGTTCATAAAAAGCCATTGCAAGAAGTGGAAATAGCAGCAATTACCCATGGTGCTCTCCAGGGATTAGCATACTTGCATTCTCACAATATGATCCATAGGTAAGTGCTTACACTTCTGCTGTCTCACACACAGGTAATTTATTTTGTTGATTGTATCCTCCTCATCCCAAATTCAGTGTTTTCAAGCAGAGATTATTTTTTCACAGTGCACATACACTCCCAAAACAGTGATGTCTAATAGTTAAATCCTGGGGAGCTGTGTCTCTGTTTGCTGGTGTTCATAATTCCTGCAGAATTGCTTTGAGACTGCCAAGCTTTTCAATACTTGATTCAGTGCCTGAAGCAGGCACTGAAGAGCAAGGCAGGCTGAGGTCACCTCAGTACCCTGTAGCAACTGCAAGGCAAAGGTTGCTGGAGCAGGGGGAGCACTAATACTTGAAAAATGAGTTTTACATGAACGCACAGATTGGGAAGCACACAGTAAGTATGGGATGCAAATGTTCTTTGTGTTTAAAGTACCTGCTGCATTTTAGTATGATGAAGGATTTGAATACTTCTATCATTAGGACTTTCTGAAAAAGAAGGCTTTGCTGAGCTGTATATGAAGCTGATCCAGATGTGCCATTTTAGGTTGATTTTTAAGACAAATTAGATTCTCAGTTTGAGGGTCATGCTAAGCTGCTAACTTCAATGTTAAAAGTTTTATACTTGGAGGAAATGAAGAGTATTCTGCAGCTTGAACATGTGAATACTGATGTGTCTTGTATAATAGAAAACCTATAGAAGGTTTTATTTTTTGGAGAGGATTAATACTGACATTTATATTCTATAACCAGAGATATCAAGGCAGGAAACATCCTGCTGACGGAGCCAGGACAGGTGAAACTTGCTGACTTTGGGTCTGCTTCCATAGCATCTCCTGCCAACTCATTTGTGGGGACGCCATATTGGTAAGCCAAGAGTTTTATGCATTTCTGGTCTTTGTGAAGTAAAAGGATCATTTATTGGGTATTTAATATGCTTGGGCTTTATTGGCACCACCTTCGTCATCTCCTGGTTGTAATAGTGATAAAATGTACTCTGGGAAAAAAAAAAAAGATATTAAATAGCAATTAGACTCTTGACTTCAAGAAATCATGAGTCCTTGTATTTGTATTTCACAGAAAGTAATAAAACTGTTTCACTCACCCTGACTTTAAGTGGTAGAGGTGGGATTGAATAATCTGTAATATATTTTAATCACTCCTCACAGTGGTTTTAACAGTTCGTGTGTTCTGACTGCATCTGGTTGTTGAAATAACTGAAGTGTTTTTTCTTCCATAGGAAAAGCCAGGTTCATTGAACAAAACCCTTTGCAGATCCCTTGTATGCTTCTGTTTTCTTACACCTAATCTGTGGTGTTTCCACAAGTGCATGCTATCATTTTGTCACCAGAGTTGGCCAGGCAGCTCAACTATTGGAGATGTGGGAGAGCGAGAAGCTGGTGATAGTCATAAACAGAGCTGGGCAAAGCAGAGGAGAACATCATGCAGCCTCTGTGTAGGCTTGTGCTGTTGGGGGTGCCTGGTCTTTGGTCCCAGTATTCTATGTTCATGCTGGATACCTTTGGGAATGATTTGTTTACAGTAGCTGAAGTCAGTGAGACAGCCTGTTTGATTGAATTGCTGATGGTGATAATGTGTTCCATTGCCCATAATTTTATGAGCACCAATTTCCTCTTTTAGGATGGCCCCAGAAGTGATTTTAGCCATGGATGAAGGGCAGTATGATGGCAAAGTAGATGTTTGGTCTCTTGGAATTACCTGTATCGAGTTAGGTAAGTTATTTTCTTTGAAAAATTGTAAAATGGATTTATTCAATACCTACAACCTATTCAGCTGTATTACAATGCAGAAGATCTGTGTTTCCTTCTTTTCTTGTCTTGGTTTCTCTGGGACTTGGATTTTAGAGAAAAGAGCTAAATGGGCTCTCTAGAATTGAAGACCAACTGTCCAATTTATGTTTATTGGAATGGCGTTTTCACTACTCAAAGAAAAAGAGTTATACAAAGACAATAGCCAGGCTGAACCATTGAAGGTGTTCACATGCTATGAGAGAGGCAGTAAACTTCTGAACTGAAGAACAGTCTATTTACTGAACAGCTCTAGAGATGAACCATTAAAAGTGCCAGCATGAAAAGTAGATTTGGTGGAATAAATTTATATTATTTGCATGATAAGGTAAGATACATTAATGAGTTCTGCAGAAATGGTGTTTGGGGTAAGTGGACAGGTTCAAAGCTGAATATTCAGTGTATGTTGTCACTTGTGAATAGATTTGGCTGGAAAAGTCTTTAAAAAAAATGGAATAACCCAGTTTTGAAGTGGTAACCTATAAGCCAAAACCAAAATGAAGTTATGGCATTGCCATTGGAACAGACTCCTTAAAGCAGAACGTTTATTTAAAAGGACTATGTTAGTATGGAATTCTGTTTAAATTTAACGTGTAGTATTTTCATGAAACAAAAATATCCTCATGAAAGCATAAGGCTCCTCAGGTTGTAGTCAGGATCCAGCTCTTAAGCTGTAAATTGTTCTTGGGCTGGTTCAGTGCAGCTCGTTGCACCTGAGGCTGCCCTGCCATCCTTGTCAGATCTCATCGCTCTAACTCCAAACCCACCTCAGTGGAGGAGCAGCCCAGCCAGGCAGTGGGAGCTCTCAGGAACACAGTAATCCATGTGAACTGCACAGTTTAGCTAGAAATGCTGCCTGGCATTCCAAGCTGTCAACTCCAGTTTCTTCCAGGACATGAAATAGATTCTTTCTACAGAGCAGAGATTTTATTATTATTATTATTATTTTGGTGGTGGTGGTTGCCAACATAAAGCAAGTTGGAGGGGTGTGACTGTCATGACAGAGTCCTGCTCTGAGTGGAGTAAGGAGACTTGGCTGTCTGTAGGGCTCCAGGAATGTGGTGAGCTCATGGCCACCACACCCCCGGGTGCCTTCCTGCACGTTGCCTCTTTGCAATGTGAAGCGTTAGGCTTCGTCTGCAGCTTCTAGCATGGTGGGAGGTGAGACTAGGTCAGGACAGTGGAGTGTTGGAGGCTGGGTTGGTGTAGTTGTCTCATTTGCCCTGAATAAGCATGGGAAGAAGGCAGAAAAAAATGAGATATCTAGGAGTCTTCTCAAACTATTCCTTGGTCGTAGGAGTGGCCCTCATTGAGGCTTGGTTTTAGCATTTCCTGAGGATTTTTATTGTATTTAGGTGAGTTATGAGGAGAAAAGGGAGAATCATCAGTTAAAATAGTTTAAGGGGTCAGTTAAAATAATATAATGGATAATCAGTCTGATCCTTGATAGAAGCAACTGGTTATCTGACAGACTAGAGAAGGTAAAGTGCTACATGTGAGGAAAGGCTTAACTCTTCAGTTTACCCATTCGGAGGAATTTGTAGGGCTTAGTCCATCCTCTGATAGCAATAATCTCAGATACATAGTTTACTGCTATGATTCAGCTCAAAATAAAAAGCAGAATAAGAAAACTAGCAGCATTTTTTACCTTGTTTGTTTAATTTTGAGGGTTTTTTTGGTGTTTTTTTTTCCAGGAAGGAAGATTTTCTGGTGTGTTTTCACTAGTGTAGGAACGTCCTCGTGGCCTGACCAGCTTCTCTGGAATGTTTATGGCAAGGCTGAGCCTTATAGCTTTACCCCATAAACATTCTGATGAAGCTTCAGTTTTGTTGTTACAGTGAGATCATCTCCTTCCTCATTAAGCTTTCATGCTGTGTCAGTCTATAAGAGTAGCACAAGCTTGAAAGAGAAGAGCCAAAGAGAATGCAACACTCAAAATAGTATCAAGAGTTGGCCTGTTACTGACTTCCTGCCCATGTGCTTAGTCAGTTAAGTGTGATTTGATGGTTCTTGTAACCAGCTTTTTCTTCATCAGTGCTGGAATTAAATGTTTGTTAACTTTTTAGCAACTGTAGCTTAGAAAAAAAGAGGGTATGAAACAAAGAATGCTTAGTGGCTAAACACAGAGTACTCCTATTTTAGTACATTAAAATGAGTCAGAGAACTGAACTATGATAAACCACGTAATTGGAAAGCTTGAGAGGACAAGGCATTTGATCTTCAAAGTGCTTTCATCTTCTGCAATGGTACAGGACAAACGCCAACATATCTGTCTGATTGCAGGGTAGGGCTGGGGTTCCGTGTTCAGGCAATAGTGATGCTGCTGGTGTGGTTTTTCTTTTTAAAGGGATGTCAACTAAAAAAAACCACAAAAAACAACAAACCAAAACTGAGCAAAACCATGAGACTGTCTCAATATATGAAACCTGTTTTCTTTTGTGTGCAGCGGAAAGGAAGCCTCCTTTGTTTAATATGAACGCAATGAGTGCCTTATATCACATAGCGCAGAATGAATCCCCCACACTACAGTCTAATGAATGGTGAGTATTACTGAGGGAGGAATGTTGTAGGGAATGGCTGTAAATGGAGTGCTTTGTCATGCTGAGTTCCTGAAATGGCTGGGTTCCTACTTGGGAGGATGTGAGCTGGAAGGTTCTCACTTGGTTCACTCTACATTTTGTATCCAAAAACTGACCGGTTAGGAAAGGTGTGTTTGAGACTCCAGAATGAAGCAGAAAGAGGACGTGCTGCTGGAAGAATGTAAGATCCTGTGAAAAAAAAATTCAGTTCATGGGTTAGTAAACTTTGGAAGCTCCCAGGCTAGCCAAAAATGTGGCTTTTAGTGTTTTTTTAAATCCCAAACCACACTGTCAGTTCCTAAATACTGTTTTGTGGAAGGATTGCTGTGCAAGATGAAGACACTGCTTGTGCGTGGCAAATGTGTGTTGGGTCAACTTCAGAAGAATAGAGCACAGTAGTAACATTCCGTGCCTCCCAGCTTCAACAACTTTCTTTTGAAACACTACATACAATAAGATGATCTCAAAAGTTGAAAACTTCCCAGTTATATTTTTGTGATTCATAATCCTAGGCCTCTAACATAATATGTTGTACCTTATTGGTAGTATTTTCTTTCTACTTTTGAGATTTTCACACCCTGGCACTTAACAAAACATTCAATTCATTTTATGTATTTTCCTGACCCCAAATGCAATACTTTAATTTACTGAAAAATTGCAGTGGCAAAGTCCCCCATTACATGATGGGAGGGGGGAACAGTGGGAAAAGAAAGAAAACCTCTGTAACTTATGTGCTGCTGTTTTCAAGTATAATCCAGCCCTTCTGAAAACAGGAAAGAAATGGCAAAATACAGAATTCTAGCTTGCAGAGGGAGAGATGTTACTAAACAAACCATGACATCAAGTCTTCCTAGTGACAGATTGCACAAGAGTGTAGAAGTTGTATCAGAGGGGCCGGAGGTGTTTCAGGAATTGTGCATTAATACATTTTGCAGGATAAACACCTGCACACAGAGGTGGAACAGGGCAGGGGCTCTGGTTAGACCATGAAGAGTTTGTGCAACACAGAATTTGACAGGGTTGATGCTCACAGTGGGATATGTGGGTATCTGTCTTTATATGGAACTTTCCTCCCTTGAAACCTGAGGTTAAAGGGATCTAACTAGTAGCAGCAGTGGGCTTTGGCTTGACCAAGGGTTGTAGGACGAAGTCCTGGGCCTGTGTGGTTCTCCTTGCCAGTGCCCAAATGTGAATCTCTTGATTCTTTAAAGAGCTTTGAAAAGGAAACTGGGCAGTTAACTCAGAAGTTGGTGTTTTTTTCACTTTCCTTGCCACAGGTCTGATTATTTTCGAAACTTCGTAGATTCTTGCCTCCAGAAAATTCCTCAAGACAGGCCTACATCAGAGGAGCTTCTGAAGGTTGGCTTGCTGGTCCTTTTTGTTTTGCACTCTTCTGTTCCACCTACCATACTAGTTTACAGTTGACAATTCTTTCTCTGCCCGTTTACCCCAAAACCTCTGAGCTGGTGGTCCTGGCTTTACTGTCCCTTGCAGTGTCCCAGACAGTTCCCCAGGTGACTCTCTGAGCCAGCCTTGTTCTCATCATAAAAGGACACCCAGCAAGTGACACTGGGTGACAATCAACTTGTCAAGAGTTTCATTTTCTTAAGCTCACTCTGTCCTCCTGGTGATGATGATTAATTCTGACAGAGCTGCCATGCATTACTTAACAAATACCTTTGGATACTCCCCCTTTATTCTTTGCTATATATACCCCTGAAGGCTTTTTATCCTCTCCTGTCACCTGTGTGCTTTACACGTAGGCCTGAAATACTTATAGTATCCCTGGGGAAAAGGAGGCAGAGGAAAGCAGGTTATTTTCCCCATACTTTTCCTTGACATGAATAAGCCTGGGCTGTCTCCAGGTGTCCTCCTGCTTTGTTTCTTTGCGTTTTATTTATTTTTTGTTTCTTCATTTGTGCCCTGGTGTGCTGTGCATACTTGGTTTTCCCTGCTCTAGTCTGGAAACAAAGCCATTGTAGATTATTGCAAAAAGCTGACATGTTCCTGAGTGAAGTCAGCTTGCAGAGAAGTCAGGTGCTAGAGCTGCTGTATTGTAAGTGTGACTTTGGTGGATTTCCTTTGTGGATGGCATGCAGAATTTTGTTAACTTGTCATTCCCTTTACAGTGCTCATGACAGTACTTTTGGGGGATTTTTATCCTGGACATGTTTGTGCTGAATAGTGATTTTCCAAAATTTTGCATTACTGGAGAATGGAAGCTATTTATGAAGGTTTTATCATTACTTTTTTGCGCTTTTTTTTGCTTTTTTTTTTTTAACTGAAATGGTTCTGAGGATTTTTGCCTCCTTAAAAACAGTGTATTAAGAAAGTAAGTGCAATTATCCAGTAAAGGTTTTGGTGTGGGTGTGTCGTCCTGCCATTTCAGCCTTTTGCAGATTGCTTTTATTTTGAGCAAGGCCCTGCAATTAAAGAGAACACTAATGGAAATGAAACCTTTGAGTGTTTTTCCTTCCATATCTAGAGTCTGAAGCAGCTGCATGTCATTTCCCAGGGACAGGTAGGGAATGTGACATGTTGGGAACGGCAATGCAGCTCTCCTAAGGAATAAAATGAAACTAGTGGTGGTGTTAATAATGACTCATGCTTGCACAGCACATTTCCTCTGGAGGCTGCAGAAGCTGCTTCTGGCAAACATAGGCAGGACTTGCTTTACCTATTGGCAAAATGCAGCCACCTTTGCAGTGAGATGCAGTGAGTGTTTCCAAATAAAGAGCATAATGTGGCTGACTGTTCCAGGGTCAGGCTTGAAGGTTCACAGCCTGTTTTATGGCTCAGCTCTATGCTGAATATTTGATTCTCAAGCTTTTCTAAACAAGGAAAAGAGTTTTAGGGTAAGCATTAGCTGATTAGTTAATTTTGGTTATAACTGCTTAACCAGCCAAATGCCTTTAGCATTTATAGGTTGGTTGTTGCTCTTCCTCCTCTAAACCACTAATAGATAATGTCTCTAGATACCCCTGTGTCCCAAGAAGTCTGTTTAAACTAAGCCTGTTTTCATGATATGTGAAATACCATTTTTTGCTTGGTGTTTTTTGGGGTTTTTTGCATCTTTACTTTTTGGTGGCTGTCTCCCATCAGAAAGCAATCATGCTAAAATCCATCTGGATCATGAAGTCTAAAAATAGTGCTAATGTAAGCTGTGAAGGTATTCTCCTTCTGTGCAGAGAAGAGGGCTCATAATGTTATTCTAAAAGCATGTGTGCTGGAGGCATAAGGGGTCACTCACCTGTTTGTGTGTCCTACAGCACATGTTTGTTCTTCGGGAGCGGCCCGAAACAGTGTTAATAGACTTGATTCAGAGAACAAAGGATGCAGTGAGAGAACTGGACAACCTGCAGTATCGTAAAATGAAGAAGCTCCTCTTCCAGGAGGCACATAATGGCCCTGCAGTCGAAACACAAGAGGAGGAGGAGGTGAGAAAAACTTTGGATTTTGTCACTGACCCAGAGAACGATGCTGTCATTTAAATAACCACAACTCAGATACTGCTGAAACCAACGGAGGCTGTTTGCACACCTGGCTGTAAACTCTGTCTTCCTTTCTGTGCTTGGAATAAAGCTACCTCAAGGCACAAACAGGAACACACAGGGTAGATGCCTAGTGCTGGCAAGAAGCTGTGCCATGTGTTCATGCTTCAACAGTTAGCTTCCAGTTCTGTAAATCCAAGCTTTATTTGCCTGCTCCTTAGGCTTCATGAAGGCTCTTTCAGCAACTTCAGTTAACCTCTGCTTTGACCATATGTACAAAGCCTTTGAGAGTCTTCTCATTTTGTCTGGAGAATGTTGTTCTAAGACATGGAAATTGGTACTTGGTTTAACAAAAAAAAAAAAATGCATCAAGGAAATTAATTTGTCTTTTTTGGGTTGTGTGCTGCAGTCACTGTGCAGAGGTTGAGGCTCTGGGTTGCAGCTCTCTCACATGCAGAAAGGATCTGTGTGATATGCAGGGTCCCAGCTGAGCACTTAGAAGATGCTGGTGTCAGAACAGTTTCTGGTGACACGCTGCTGCTGATACATGATAGAGTTCAGCTTGTTAAGAGGCTTGCTGTTGAAAAGAATCTGACATCAGCCAGTTCATCTTGACAAGGTTGATTCTTTCTCTCCCCAGTATCCCACAAGGGAGATGTTTCATGGCAATGCCTGGAGGGCAGGAACTGCCATGACGTGGCGGGTAGATGCCTTTAGAAAGGATGGAATGAATGTTTCATTTGGTAATGTCCATAGATAAAGCTGTGATGGATTTGAATTTTCTTAATAATTCCTTTCTCCTAGGAGCAAGATCATGGTGTCGGCAGGACAGGAACAGTGAATAGTGTTGGAAGTAATCAGTCCATTCCTAGTATGTCTATCAGTGCCAGTAGCCAAAGCAGTAGTGTTAACAGTCTTCCAGATGCCTCAGATGATAAGAGTGAGCTGGATATGATGGAGGGGGACCACACCGTGATGTCAAACAGCTCTGTCATTCATTTAAAGCCGGTAAGATTGGGTTTTTGCTGGGTGACTTTGAAGGTGTAAAATGGGGGAGGATTTGGTTGGCGTGATAACAAGAAAATCCTATCCTGAATCATGTCTGCAGGTCCTAATAGTGTGTCCCAATATATTAACGTGCACTGGAAGCTTTGGAAGGTTGCTGTAAAGATGGTTTATTTCTGTTGGTTCACTAAAAATTACTTTCCTAATTGCATTGTTTCAAAATGGATTTGTTTTACCGTGCGGAGTCGGAATGGCAACCTGTGAATAGGTTTATTTAGTGGATGCTCTTAATTTGCAGAGCACTGCTTCACAGACCAAAAGGGTGTGAGTTGTGGCCCTTTTTACCTTCTAGTTAATGAATTCTTAAATATAAGACCCTCAGTCATGATTGAAATGTGTTCCTGAAGCACTCAGCTTCCCAGCACTTGATTTGAACGTTTGGTTAAAGAGCAAAGATGCACAGAAAAAGAAATGGCAGCACTCAGGTCATGGCAGGCTGTGAAAGCATCTCCCCTGCTACATGGAGGATGAACTGGGGAGTGTCCCTCTGCCTGTGGAGGGATTATCACACCTTTTTTCAAACCGGTAATGTTTCCCACCTGGATGCGTTCCTATGTGATGTACTCTAGGTTACCCTGCTCTGGCAGGGGGGGTTGGACTAGATGATCTTTTGAGGTCTCTTCCAACCCCTAGGATTCTATGATTCTGTGATTCCCCAGCTAATGGTAGGTGTGGTTAGAATGTTTTGTTCTTTGCCGAGATACGCAACAAAGATGCAGGTATGTCCTCGGGGAGTTAATTAGTATATCATATCTAACTACTAATCACTGTGTGATGAATGACAAAATAAGAATGTGGAATACACCATGACAAATTTTTAAATTCGCTTTGAGGTATTTCTGTAGTGGGTGTAATGAAAATCTTCCTCTTTCAAGGCTACAAAGATGTGTTTTTTTTCTTTCAGAATTGATATAATCTACTTTATAGCTTTTATGTTTTGTTGAAGTAAACTGTTTAACTCAGTTTTCAGTTTTCCATTTATTTTTCTTGTTTTCAGCTTTAATTAGTAATTTTCCTCCTAGTAATAATGTGCAATGAAGTTTCCAAAAGCAAGGATCCTAGATCAGAGCTCTTGTTACAGTATATCCATCCCTTCATCCACCTGTTTCCACAGAGGATCTCTCAGAGCTGCTGAATGTGAAGTGGTTTTTCTTCCTTTGAAGAGTCTTTTGAACAAGACAACAAAAAATTATCTTTGGTAACAGTTTCTCTTTATTCTCTCACGTTAATATTTGCTGATAAGGAGGAAGAAAACTACAGAGAGGAGTCAGATCCTCGAACAAGGGCATCAGAGCCCCAGTCTCCTCCCCAAGTATCGCGCCACAAGTCTCATTATCGCAACCGAGAGCACTTTGCTACCATACGCACAGCATCGCTGGTAGGTCCAGGTTGATACTTGGATGGGGTTGTGTAGGGAGGGACACCTTGGAACACAGGGCTGGGAAACTACTTAGAGCTGTTAGGATTTCATCAGCATGTGAGCTGTCCTGGTTGGCTGAGATATTATCGCTGAAATGGTTTAATGGAAGTTAATAAAAGCTCAAATGCAACACCTGGGCAAGTGTAATTTGTGTGTATTGGGTATTTTCAAAACCAATATGCCTCAGAGAATGCAGGAACCTGTTTATAATAATAAGATGGCTTTTATTTTCTTATGCATATTATACATATTTGTGTGTGTATGTTTATCTGCACACTCATTACAGTGGGCTAAAAAGGCATTTGGTACCAGCTTTATGACAATTGTACAGTTTTTCTGCTGGAGCCCAGGTGGGCTTATCTTCTGCAGCAGAATTCATTTCTTAATCTGCTCTGCTGCCATTAGGATATGGGCTTTTCTTGACAAAAAAAATCATCTTTCTTTGCTGAAGAGTTTTGTTTTGTGGTTCTGCTGAAAAGCAGATAAAGGAGCATTGAGTGAGGCCCGATGTGGTTACCTTCCTAGGTGACAAGGCAAATGCAGGAACATGAACAGGACTCTGAGCTCCGAGAGCAGATGTCAGGCTATAAACGCATGAGAAGGCAACACCAGAAGCAGCTGATGGCCTTGGAGAACAAGCTGAAGGCAGAGATGGACGAGCATCGCCTCAGGTTGGACAAAGATCTTGAAACACAGCGTAACAATTTTGCAGCAGAAATGGAAAAGCTAATTAAAAAGCACCAAGCAGCCATGGAAAAAGAGGTAGGAGACCAGTCTATGTGTGTATACTGAATTGTCCCCTTCCCCTCACTGACAAAGAGATAACATTGTAGTCTGTTACACATGCCTGCTTTCAGGAGCCAAACAAATTGCTAATTAGAGAAAGGCTAATACATCATCTCATTATACTGAGGGGTTTATGTAACTAGAGGAAAGGTTTGTCCTTCATCACGGTGCCTTATACTAAGTGTTAGTACTCTGACCCCAGAATAATACTGTAAAGGTTTTTCTTTCTTTTCCCATGTATCTGCTGTCTGTAACTGTCTGCCATCAGGTGTTATGGAGGCAGATGAGCCTGCAGAGAGGTGCCAGCCACTCTTAAGTGTTCACTGTCCAGTTGCTTATGAATATGGGGGTTTTAATGCTTTTAAATAATTGAAAATGAAGTGGTGCTGCCTACAGCAGTGGGTATTGATTCTTTGTTCTTCTTGGATCTCTCTGTGGAGGGCTAAGGGTGTAGTTCATCATGAGGGGTTGACTTCATTAGGCAGGACTAAGTGAACAATAGGGCTGAGGAAATGAGGCACTGGAGAAGGACTGGTGTGTTGAGGGGGGTTGGAATGAGAAGAGAGTGAGAGGAAGCTCCTGAGACTTGCACTTATTCCGAGTCCTGGTGAGTATGTGGTGACTGTACTTGGCAGTTCTGGGTCTTGGAGCAGAAATGGAACAAGAACTGTAAGCCCCTGGGACTCAGACTGATTTGCTGCTGGATTTTCTGTAGGCTAAAGTGATGGCCAATGAAGAAAAGAAGTTTCAACAGCATATTCAGGCCCAACAGAAAAAAGAATTGAACAGTTTCCTGGAGTCCCAGAAGAGAGAATATAAACTCCGTAAAGAGCAGCTGAAAGAGGTAACTCATCTGTATTGAGAAGTGTGGCTGCAGCACAGAGCACAGGACAGGGAGAGGGAACTTCACTGGTTGCAGCAAGTTCTGCATTTCATGAGCAGAGTCCTGTGTTTGTTTCATATCTTTGACCTTAGAGTAAGAGGGTTCATTTGTATGTTGGCACGTGTATGTTTATCTTTTGAAAGTACAAACTTCTCCATTGTTTATGATTATGTTTTAGCCAGAAACATGCAAATTTGGCAAAGTAAGGAATGAAAAAAGGGAGTTTAAGAAAAGTCATGAACATTTTTCTCATACCTTTTTGCTGCAGATACTGACCATACGCTGCAGCAGTTAGTGAAATTTCTTATCACTTAAGTGATATTTGTGTAGCAGCAACAAGAAAACAAAACAGTAAAGGTGACCTGCAGATTATTTTTTTTAAGGAAAATATCTGTAAAACACTTTTTTTTTTTAATGGAGAAGGCTGTGTAATACATTAAAAAGCACTGTATTGTAGTAAACATCATGATCTTTGTGAAATGCAGAAAACCTGTAGAATCAAAACTTCCTGGTTCTTTTTGTGGAGTGGCTGAAACCATAAGAATTATAAATAATTTTTTTGAAAGAACCATTTAATGCTCAACCAACAACTTGTGTGACGCAATTTTGGAACTTGCTCCAAAGGGGAATATTCCCAAACATAGACATTCCCAGGAGAGAGAAAAAAAAAAAAGGGCAAAAGAGCGAAGAGAGTGAGAGGAAGCTCCTGAGACTTGCACTTATTCCGAGTCCTGGTGAGTATGTGGTGACTGTACTTGGCAGTTCTGGGTCTTGGAGCAGAAATGGAACAAGAACTGAAAGCCCCTGGGACTCAGACTGATTTGCTGCTGGATTTTCTGTAGGCTAAAGTGATGGCCAATGAAGAAAAGAAGTTTCAACAGCATATTCAGGCCCAACAGAAAAAAGAATTGAACAGTTTCCTGGAGTCCCAGAAGAGAGAATATAAACTCCGTAAAGAGCAGCTGAAAGAGGTAACTCATCTGTATTGAGAAGTGTGGCTGCAGCACAGAGCACAGGACAGGGAGAGGGAACTTCACTGGTTGCAGCAAGTTCTGCATTTCATGAGCAGAGTCCTGTGTTTGTTTCATATCTTTGACCTTAGAGTAAGAGGGTTCATTTGTATGTTGGCACGTGTATGTTTATCTTTTGAAAGTACAAACTTCTCCATTGTTTATGATTATGTTTTAGCCAGAAACATGCAAATTTGGCAAAGTAAGGAATGAAAAAAGGGAGTTTAAGAAAAGTCATGAACATTTTTCTCATACCTTTTTGCTGCAGATACTGACCATACGCTGCAGCAGTTAGTGGAATTTCTTATCACTTAAGTGATATTTGTGTAGCAGCAACAAGAAAACAAAACAGTAAAGGTGACCTGCAGATTATTTTTTTTAAGGAAAATATCTGTAAAACACTTTTTTTTTTTAATGGAGAAGGCTGTGTAATACATTAAAAAGCACTGTATTGTAGTAAACATCATGATCTTTGTGAAATGCAGAAAACCTGTAGAATCAAAACTTCCTGGTTCTTTTTGTGGAGTGGCTGAAACCATAAGAATTATAAATAATTTTTTTGAAAGAACCATTTAATGCTCAACCAACAACTTGTGTGACGCAATTTTGGAACTTGCTCCAAAGGGGAATATTCCCAAACATAGACATTCCCAGGAGAGAGAAAAAAAAAAAAGGGCAAAAGAGCAGCAGAGCCAAGAAAGATCTAGCAAAAAACTATAGTAGTGTGGGCTCTTTATAACAACATAGAATATTTTTCTAAGTGGGCAGTAAATCACAGAGCACCAAAAAACACTGATGAAATACAGAGGATTTCTGTCTCATCTTTAAGTTGAAATGGGACAGGTCTGTTTACTGTGTGGATATCTCTGTGCAGTTCAAGCAAGCAGGACAAAGATGCTTCAAGCTGTCTATTGTATATAGTGCATATGTGGAAACTGTGGCCTTGGGTTTCACCTGTGAATTTCTTTTATCTTGTTTTTGTGAGTTATGGCAGCTCAGTGAGTGTCTCTGCCTTGATGAGTTACTTAAAATGTATGTTTTTATTAAGTAAGACACAAAATTTTTCTCATGTGTTTCATGTGGCTGGAGTTTTGTTTGAACAGAATGACAAGGCTTTCCTTCTACTCTTAGTCCTTTGGGAGCCTGTAAAAACATTTGTCAGGCAGTATGGCAGGACCTCCAAGTGTCTTTTGTTTTCAGTGGCAAACCATCAGTTTTACATTTTGAGCTAATGCACGTGTCTGGAAACTGTGGACATGAACCAGCAATTTGACCAGTTAATGTGACCAAAGCAAAAACCAGTTGTAGTTGAATTTGCCCCACTATGAAGTGTCTCCTGGTGTTCCCTTAGATATGAGATATGAAGCATTTTGCAGAGGCTGGGGTGGTGAGAAAGGCAAGGTAGACCACCTTTGAAACATAGTTTATTGAGCAGGTCCGTCCAGTTGTTCAGGGCAAAGGAGCTTAATGTGACTGTTCCACAATAAATTGCCTTGCTGTTATCAGGAGCTGAATGAAAACCAGAGCACTCCAAAGAAGGAGAAGCAGGAGTGGCTCTCCAAGCAGAAGGAGAACATCCAGCATTTCCAAGCAGAGGAAGAAGCCAACTTACTGAGGCGTCAGAGGCAGTACTTGGAGCTGGAGTGTCGCCGCTTTAAGAGGCGGATGCTCCTTGGCCGCCACAATCTGGAGCAGGACCTGGTTCGAGAGGTAAGAGAACAGGCAGAGATGAGACCTGGAACCACCTGTGTGAAATGTGTCTCACAGGAGCTCCTGCAATCCAGCTCCAGCCTCACTGAGCTGTTAAGTACCACATCTAAAGTTTTCTTGGTAAAATAATGGTTTGGTATGTTTTGCGACACCACCTGGTAAACCCTGTGGTGTTTAGGGGATCGTGTGTTCAAATTAGTGCCCTGTTGTGGGAGAATTGCTAGATCCAAAAAGTCAACAGACACAACAGTCACAGGCCTTTCCAGAAAATGCTTGCTCTGAATCCGGTTGAGCATCTAGAACAGGAAGAAGAAAAGTGAAATGAGGAAGGAAAAATTAGTGGTGGCGGTGCTGTCTGCTTCTGATAAGATGTAGAAACTCTGTGTTCTGTCCTCAAATGCCTTGGGAAGAGAGAAATGTGAACAAAGTGCAACCATTGTGAACAGAAATCCAAGTAAGTAAAAAAAAAGAAAAAAAAGAAAAAAAATGTTACAGTTGCCTCTGTCCTCCTGTTAGGAGTTAAACAAGAGGCAGACCCAGAAGGACCTGGAGCATGCCATGCTGCTGCGCCAGCACGAGTCCATGCAGGAGCTGGAGTTCCGCCATCTCAGCACCATCCAGAAGATGCGCTGTGAGCTGATCCGGCTCCAGCACCAGACCGAGCTCACCAACCAGCTGGAGTACAACAAGCGCCGGGAGCGGGAGCTGAGGCGGAAGCACGTCATGGAGGTCCGGCAGCAGCCCAAAAGCCTGAAGGTACTGAGGGGTGTAGGAGTTCTGGGTACAAGCTGCTGCTGGTGGTGGCAAAGCGGTACATGGCAGCTCAGTTCTCATTCGCGGTGTGTGCGGGTCCGAGGTAGCGTAGAGCTCGTTAATTGGCGGAGGTGTCTTGCCCTGTAGTGGATACCTTTTATAAGAGGTGTCATGTTTGTCAAGGTGTGGAACTGCCAGGGTGCCAGTGCACCCTGCAAGCACCACGTGTATGAGCCCTAGCAGTGATGGCTCAGGGTGCAGTGCAGACCACAGCAGCACTTTGCCCTCAGTTTGGTTGAAAAGCTGTTGTTCTCAGCAATTATTACTTTCCTTTTTGTGGCAGTTTACAATGCATTTAATCTTTGCAGTGCCTTCCCCCCCATTCCTTTTACACTGTTTTGTGATCCTCTTCTCCCTACCTATAGTAGAAAAAAGATAAACCTATTTTCCTGTAATGAAGCAGTGTCATTCCAAAAAGCAAGAGCAAGAAAAGCTTTGTGTTCCTGTCTGCATCAAAATGAACTGTGCTATTGGTCTTGGCTAGCACACCTTGTTATTGTTTTTATATTAAGGCTGATATGCTAGCAGGTATGGAAGGCAGAGAGAGACCAGCCAACTGCAGTGTCCTCGGGAAGCTCCCAGCACTGACCTGTGCTGTGTTGTGCTCCCATGGGCTTCTTGTGCTGCCCTTGGAGCTGCAGTGGCTGACCAGAACTGCAGGGCCTCTGTAATTGAGGCTCTTAGTGTTTTCATTGTGAGCCTTCACTTCATCCAAAGGAGTCCAGTGGTTTATTCTGAAGTGTCTGAGAAGGGAGTATAGGGCCTTTCACAAAGCTGCCTGGTATGTTTCTTTTGAGGAGGCAGAATTCTTCTCTCCACCCAGTGTTCAGCTGTGCCAGTAACAAAATGAGTGGATGGCATACTGAGCATGGGGTTCCTTTGTTGTTCTAGGTCTTTCCTCTTCATAATATTTCCCATCTGACTTAGTTTTCACCACCTGCAAGTTATCTTCTTACAGAGAAAAAACCAACAACTTGAAATAGAACTTCAGCCAAAAATAATAAGCAAATACCTGTTTTGTCAATATTAGAATAATATTAAATAGTGAAAACCCAGCTTGTGAGAACAAGGGACCATCTGATCGCTGTTGAGAATCTCCAAGGATATAGTGTATAAATAGCTGATGACTTCACAGGGAAGCTGTGCTGCACTCTGAGCTGAATAAAACTGAAGCAGCTGTATTAGGTTGATCCTTCTGAGATTAGCATGAATGGGCTCTGCCTCCCCAAGGTGATGTGGTGCAAACACGGGTGGGCAGCACCTCCCTTCCCTTCCCAACTGGCAGTTGGAACAGCAGGATTGGTGGTCTCTGGGCTGCAGAGGCTCAGCTGCCCTCTGACCTCTGTGGGCTCTCCAACCCCTTCCCTTTCCCAGTGGGGACAGGGCTGGAGGGCTTTGCAGGGAGCCTGGGAAGCCTGCACGTTGCTGTAGGTGGCTGTTCTGCGATTAGTGAAGGATTTGAGGCTTGAGCTGTCAATCCAGCACCTTTGCGTACACTCAGTGCTAATAATGCAGCCTGCTGGACAGCCCTGCCGTTTGCAGCACAATCCCCTATTTATCGAGGCTGTTCCCCAGTGTTAACTCCTTCCCTTGCTTCTGACTAATTCAGGCAAGTTTCCTTAATTGAGTAGATAATTTGGCTGTTTGTTCTGTTTCTCTCTCCAGTAACGCTTTCCCTCAAGGGCAGTTGTTTCAGGCTTTCCCTTTTGTTATTTAGTCAGGTCCTTTGTCCTGAAAGCAGATTTTTTAACGGTCAGTGTCTGCTACTGTTACAGCACCAGAAGGACTGATAACTAGAATTCAGCCTTCAGTGCAAACTGCTCTGTTATTATTTCGAGTGTGTTAATTGTGATGCAAATACCCTCTTGCTGCTATTTCACAATACTAGGTCAAAATGATCTTGTCAGAAATCTGACTGGAAATCTTACCCCTCCCTTCTGTTTCCTGTTGTTAAAGCCTTTGGATTGGAAGCCTGTAAACAGTCTGGTGTCCAAGCAAGACTTCACAGAAAGGGAGGACAAAATAAATTGCTAGTGTTTTGCTGTGACCTGACAGGAATGTGTAACCTGCTGGCACTTCCCTTAAGGGCAGGGAGAAACAACCTTAAAGGTTTCCTGGAGGGAAGTAACTTCCTGTGAATTTAGAAAGGATAGAAGTAATGTATTCCTCTTTGTGGCACATGTTTTTGTTTGAATGAAACCCATCTTTGTCCTGTTTTCTGCATCAGGTTAGGGAAGTGGAATTGGTTTACTCAGCAAAGCATGCTGGTGTCTGGATGGGGTCAGACCCATCATCTGTTCTCATTGCACCTTTCTAGGTAGCTACAAGTGCTGCTCTTATCACCTGCCCTGCTGAGCCCTGAGCTGGTGCCAGGAGCAGGCAGTGCAGGAACTGACAGGACACATGCACTGTATCTGCCTTGCTAGTTAAGATCCCAGAGCTCTTCCAACTTGTTCAAGGGACAGGAAGCTGTTATTATACTCTGTTTCTGCCCCCAGTGCTTTGGGATTTGACCACAGTGCCTACTGACTGCCCTGCTGGGGGGGTTTAGGGTTTTTTTATTCCTTGGTGTTCTTATCTGTTTATGAGCTCAGGGTTTTGCTTAATTAGAAGTATCCCTGCCAGCCTTCCTTTAGAAGGATCCAGGGAACTCCAGAGCACCTGCCTACTCAGGGTCCTAGAACACTTAATAAATGTCAGCTCTCACAAGCTGCTCTGGAGGCAGGTAAAGCAGGTGAAAGAAAAAAAACAATTTCCTCAAGGTTATACAGCAAAACCAGATCCAGATAACTTTTCCAGGATTGAAGTCTCCCAGCCCTCTGTGCAATCAGAAAGTTAGGTCTCCAAACTATAGGAAGCTGTTATTGAGTGCAAAGGGAAAACTCCATCTCCAGTGAGCATCCACGAGGACTGGGGAATTGTGTTTGCTAGACTGGCACAATGCTGATGTTGCTTGTGGTGTCTGTCTTCAAGCATCTAATCCTTCCCAGCCATTTTTCAAGTATTTTTATGAAAACCAGGCTCTTCATGTCAAGGGTTAGAGTACATCTCTTCATCAAACCCTCAGTGGAAAAAGTGTTGCTCTTTTTCCCCTGTCCCTTCCCATTGCACTGTATCAGCTACTTTCCATAACGTTAAGTTCTGTTCGTATGTATGTGCCATACAAGCGGTGTCATGTGTGCGTATGGCTTTTGGTGCTAATAAATATTAGTCCTGTCCCTCAAGAACTTTTCTTGAAAAGCAACACCCAGCACTGGATCCAGTCCAGTGACAAATGTGAGGCTCTTTGTGCAGAGACAGCTGTATTTAGGCTGGAGCTTTGTTATAAAAGTGTCTATATTGTAATTGTTTCGCACAGTAGCAGTGTCAAAGCAGCTGCAGCAAATAGTCATTGCCTCCTGTGTATTTTGCTTCCCTCCTTGCACTGTAGATGTTAATATACATTTGTGGATTCTTGAACTCATATCCTTAATGTAATCCTAAATATCCATTTGAATGGATATTTCTCCCATTTGAAACATGCATATTTTTTTTTCTTTGTTTGTGTCCCCTCCATCTTTCCAGTCTAAAGAACTACAGATAAAGAAGCAGTTTCAGGATACATGCAAGATCCAAACCAGACAGTACAAAGCACTGAGAAACCATCTGCTGGAGACCACGCCAAAGAGTGAACATAAAGCTGTCCTCAAACGGCTCAAGGAGGAGCAGACCCGGAAGCTGGCTATCCTGGCTGAGCAGTATGATCACAGCATTAATGAAATGCTCTCTACACAAGCTGTGAGTCGCCTCCAAGGGACCCAGGGTTCCTCAGCCACATAGGGGATGTTTGCATTTTAACCAGTCTGTATCCTGACAGCAGGCTGTCTGCTTCCTTGCCATGCCCAGCACAGTCATTCCTCTGTATTTAAGCAGCAGCATTCAAATGCAGAGGAAGGAGGTGTTGCTCCCTTCAGGCAGGTTGGAGCTGCCCTTGCAGAGATGCAGACGTGGCCAGAGAACTGCTTTTGCATGAAGTCTGACTACATCGATGTCCCTGTCAGAGCATCCTTAAGTAGTATGCAGCTTGCTGTCTTAAGTCATTGAGGCTTTGGTTTGTCAATTATACCAATCAAAGCATGTCCCAGTGGTGGAAGATGCTCATTGAGTCATGGAGAAGTTCAGAGTTTTGACTGTAAATCTGAAATAACGTAAAAGGTGTTGTGAAAGTTCTGTGACTCCTTTAAAACATTCCTTCTCTGAGGGATGACCATATGAGCAATGCTTTGAGTCCTTGCTACAACTAAATGTACAGTTTTCTTTGCACTTCTTCCGTATTGCATCCTGCTGACGTCACTCTGTACAAATTTGACACTGTGAGGCAGGGTAGCTGGCTTAATTTCTGTATGGGAAGGTTTAAAGTCCAGAACCATGTTGCTTTTAGACATCTGTCATTATATTCTTTCACCTGAAGTCCTGCATTGGCAGGAATATGGACTTAAGTCTCCTGCATACAGGTGATGGGTTAATGCAGTTGGACAGAGCAAGAGATCTTCTCTTTGCCTCCAGCCAGAGGAGGGCTGTGGCTGTTAGCACCTCCAGCAGCCTGGTCTCTGCAGTATGGTTGGTGGTTCCCAAGGCGCCACTGCTCATCAGCATCACTGGCATCAGTGCTGTGGGCTCACTGTCACCAGTCTTTGTCACTATAGGTCCTCTGTTCAGTGAAGCAAAGTACAATAGAGACCAATTGTATTGCTAAGAAAACAAAGTCCCATCCCATTCTCTCCCCCTCCCTGCCGTCCTCCCCCAGAGTGTCATGAGTGGTTACCCCATAGTGAAACGTCTCTATTGTCTGTCTTTCCCAGCTGCGTTTGGATGAAGCGCAGGAAGCAGAGTGCCAGGTTTTGAAGATGCAGCTGCAGCAAGAATTGGAGCTGCTGAATGCATATCAGAGTAAAATCAAGATGCAGGCAGAGGCCCAGCATGATCGGGAGCTGCGTGATCTTGAACAGAGGGTGTCCCTCCGTCGGGCCCTCCTTGAGCAGAAGGTAAAATGGGCACATGAGTGGCATTAGCACACTCTGTGTTTCAGATCTTAAGTTGTACTGTGCTTATCAGTAGGGAGAGAAATTGCTTTTAACTTGTGGTATATAGTAACACAAATCATTTGGGTATTTGCCTCTCTGGGATAATAGCTCAGTGACACATAGGCTAAACTTTCTGCCAGCTCAGCCATCCTGTGTGAGCAGCTTCTGGCTGGGATAGAGCTGCTTGGAGTGTGCCAGAGGGAGCTGTGCCTCTCTGGGCAGAAGGGAAAGTGAACTGTTCTGTCTCTGAGCTGCAGATTAGCTTCCCTGGCTCATTAGAGGACAGACAGTAACAACCTAAAGCTAGGGGATTTTTTGAAGTTAGCGTGGTATCAGCAGTAGGTACCTTTGGGAAGGGAGGGTAAAATAAGTTTGAGACCCTGTGTTTTAGGGTGATATTTTACTGCAGCTCTGCTCCATTTGTCAGTCTGTGGAGACCAAGCTGCAGTTTCCCTATGAAGTGACCTTTGTTATGGAAATGCTGCTGTCTGCAGCATCTCCCTGAGCAAACTCAAGGAGCTAGACCCACAAGCATGAGTGACCTGCTGCTTCCTAGATTTCAACTTATAATTGGCTGTGTCAATTAAGGTGCTCCATTTTGAAGAATGCAGTGCCAGACACTTGGTGTGTAGAGAAATGTGTGTGAGTGGCCTTCACAAGCCAGGGGAAGGGTAATGCTCCAGCCAGTGAAAGGAAATACACAGCCTTCTTCCTGCAGATTTTTTTCCCTTTTGATTTGCCTTGTGGGTGCCAGCCATGGCACTTCACACAACACTTCCCAACTTTGCTGATCGGCGATTATTAAATTAGGGCAATTACTCTGTGGCCTAGAGGTTCTTCACACTTCGTTTCTCCGGGAGGCGAACAGATGGATGCTGGGCTGGTAGAGGGAATAAAACTGCTCCACCTCATGGTCAGCCAAGGAAGCACCTCCGAGCAGGCAGCTCAGTCCTGCTAGTAGAGATGAATCTCTGGAAGTAACTGGATTTGTGAAAACTGAGTTCCCATGAGGCACTGATGTAATAGCTGTCTTTAGACCCCATCTCTAGCTGTTTTGCTCCCGTCCAGAAGAGGACAGCTCCCCTCACAGCCCTGCCTTTTGGTGTCTTTACATCGGGTGGGCATTGCCCTCTGGTGGCACAATCTGGCTCTGGGAAGAAGAATGTCACAATCACTGCTGGTCATGGCTCCTTGTCTGTGGGAGCAGCACACCTTGCACTGCAGGGAGTGTTATGGCAACAGTTGAAGTGAGGCCAGCTGCCTATGGAAGCACACATCAACCAAGAATGGTGTTCTGTCAGTCTTCCAGTGTGGACCAGGATGGAAACCTCTTTGCACAGAAAGCCCCTGCGAAGCATTTGGCATCAGCAATGGTGATAGGAAGCTTAGTAATGCTGTGTCATAGGAAAAAAAGAAAGATAAAATTAGGACCTCGTATATTTTTTCTGTGTGTGTTTGTGTGCCCTGTGTGTCCCTGTGCGACTGCTACATTAGACCAGCAAAGGTGGGGTGTTCCTTCAGTTCCCATGGGTGGGAGCCTTCATTTAGCAACACGTGCAGTTCCGGCGTGTTGTAGCTCACTCACAGACTAGTGATGAGGCTGCAGTCCCTCAGCAGCAGCTCAAGGCAAAACACATGGGTGCAAAGGTAGATGGGTCCTGCTTTTGTCAGGGTGTTCTCTGGGGGAAGGAGCGTGGATCTGGTTTTGTGAGAACTGAGTTGTGATTGTGTGTCGCTCAGCGATGCTACCCGGTATTTGCTTGCACGTGCTGCCTGAGGCTGGCAGCCAGAGAAGGGGCAGGGGAGTGGCCAGGATTAGTGTCTGAATTTATATGCTCAAATATATACGTAGCCTGTGGCAAAGTCAGCCCCTGGTGCTCAGTAATAAGCCAGATTCCAGAAGCTAGTGTGTTCACAGGACTGCTTCCTGCTCAGCTCAGTGCTCTTGGTTTTTGATGGTGCCCATCACCATGGTAACTCACCAGAGCAAAAGTGTCTGACTTGGGCTGAGGAGGGAGACTCCAGCCCCATCCATGCACACACAGCCTTTGAGTGTCACTGACTGAGACCATACCCTGATGCCGTGTTGTTTGTGCTGCACTAGTAATGAGCATGTCCCATGAGTGCTTTTAAAAGACTTCAGATTCACACATTTCCTTCCCACATGCTTCAAGACGCTTCATCTTCAGAGTCCTGAATGCTGAGGTCATTTCTAGGTGGTGTCAGTTCGATGCAGGGTGTTTAGCTGTGCCCTTCTGTGAAGTCCAGCTGCACCGAGCCTTGTGTATTGGTTGCACTATCACAAAGACAGAAAGCTTGTGAACAGCTGGACATGGTGAAGACACTGAAAAAGGAGGATTCTGCTTATATAGCAGGGCTAGAAAAAAACGTAATGTTTTAAAGAGCTGAAGTTAGAGAAGGCACCTTCTTCCTCTTCTGCCTTTTCCAAGCCAGCTGCCCAGTGCATGGCTTAGCAGGAGTGAGCAAAGCTGCTGTATAGGGAGAGTCAGTGTCACCCAGCACTAAGAAGCAGGCAGGTGGGTAAGGCGGTTTCTGACAGCCCCAAATGGCTCGGGAGATGACTCACATTGGAGCAGATTGTTTCCTAAATTCCAGATGAAATCACTTTGCATATTCCCTGACTAAGGCAAGAGTGTGCTTACAAGTACAATGCTCTGCCCAGTACCTTCAGCACAGACCCAGATAACACCTCTTGGCCACATTGCTGCTGACAGCAGGGGAGATGCCAGTGAGTTATGCTAAAAGTCTTGGCTGCTGCTTTTTGTGCATTTGGTCTTTTTCACTGAGGCCAAAAGCAGCTTTTTCGGTGCTGGCAAGAAGATAATGAAGTGATTCTCTGGTTCTCCACCTGGCTGCAAAGATTTAAATAAGAAAGGCTTTCCTCTCTGTCTGATGCTTGTCAGGAGGCTGTAGCCCCATGTTTTTCTTGCTCAGAGAGTTGATCCCAGTGCCCCTACCAAAGTGCTGCTGGAAACCAATTTGGAACAGTGTTACTGGGAAGAAATTGGAGTTGCCAGCTTGTGTATCACCTAGCTAATAATCTGCCACACAATTCAAATATCACTGCCTCCTTCCTTCATCTGGAAAGATGAGAAAATACCAGGGTAATGAAACATGAGAAACCAGTTTAGGAAAGGGGGAGATAAGAGGTGATAAACAAGAGCTAAGAAAATCTGGTCCCTGAACACTGGAGAGGAAACAGAATGTGGGCTCGTACGTTGAATCCTGGAGAAAATAGCAGTTGTCATCATCAGATTCAGCTACAAACATTGAAGGTCACATTAAGCTGTGTTGGCAGGTATCTGACTGTGCTTGGCTTTATCTGAAGGTGCTTTCCCTGTAGGCTTTTATGAAAGCTGTAGACTTTGCTGCATCTTAAAAGCTTAATCTACATCAAGCTGTTAGTGTCATTGCAAACTTTGGATTTGTGTCCATAAAACTTTTATATTTACCAGAGAATAGGGACCAAGACCCTCCAACTGGTATGCACCACATTTTGGCCTGTGCAGGTCTGTGGGACTTACCCTTTGCCTTCAGAACAGATTGTGTGTCAGTGGACATCTGATCTAGGTCCAGTCTCATGTGGAAACATGGGGAGGAGGCTCCTCGTTGGCTTGCTGTTACACGTCCTTCAGAGACCTGCGGCCGTGCCTGGGAAGGAGTCCTGCTGCTACACATTCTTCTCTTCTCTTTTTCCCTTCCCAGATTGAGGAGGAGATGCTGGCACTGCAGAACGAGCGCACCGAGCGGATACGAAGCCTCCTGGAGCGTCAAGCTCGCGAGATCGAAGCCTTTGACTCAGAGAGCATGAGGCTGGGTTTTAGTAACATGGTTCTTTCTAATCTCTCCCCCGAGGCGTTCAGCCACAGCTACCCGGGAGCTTCTGGCTGGTCCCACAATCCTACTGGGGGTGCAGGACCTCACTGGGGTCATCCCATGGGTGGCCCACCGCAAGCTTGGGGCCATCCAATGCAAGGTGGACCCCAGCCATGGGGTCACCCCTCGGGGCCCATGCAGGGGGTACCTCGAAGTAGTGCTATAGGGGTCCGCAACAGCCCCCAGGCTCTGAGGCGGACAGCTTCTGGGGGACGGACGGAACAGGGCATGAGCAGGAGCACAAGTGTTACTTCACAAATATCCAATGGTTCACACATGTCTTATACATAACTTAAACAATAACTGAGGGTGGCAATTCCACTGGAGCTGTCTGCCAGAAACTGCCTACAGACACCAGCCCAGCAGCCTCCTCAGTGTGGTGCTGACGTGTGGAAGCTGGGTGCACATGGAATATTGTATTCATTTTGTAAAGCATTACGTTTTGTGTTTACTAACTGGGATGTCATAGTATTTGGCTGCAGGGTTTGGGGGGAGGGGGGCGCGGTGGTTTTTTTGGTTTTTTGTTGTCGGTTTTGGGGTTGTTTTTTTTTACTTTTTGGAGGGGTCTTGGGAGGGCATCTGAGAAATATATGCAATTAGTCAGAAGAGTTGACTGGTGGTCATCACACTGACAGGACAGAAGGACCTCAGACTGCCCTGGTTGTGCCATCCTCTAGGAAGTCTGAGGGAGAATAGAGACCTCCTTCCATGCCCATAAATTTCGATCTGCCACCCTGTAAAAATCAGGCAAGCTGCCTTTAAACCAACATCCACAGGAGGAACAGCTGGATCTTCTGTTCCATTTTTATTTGTCATTAAATTGGATGCATTTCTAGGGTATTGCCTCTGCCAAGAGGCGTTTTCAAAGACTTGAAGGTGAGGAAGAAGGGTGAAAAGAGAGGCCAAGAGACATCAGGGCTCAGCAGGGCCCTTCTACCCAAGTGCCCGCTCCATATTGTGTAAGAAGTTCTCTCAGAAGGCACTGGTGAGCTTCCCGAGAAGTGCTTTGGAAACCTGTTTGGGGAGAGCAGGCTAGAAATGTTCAAAATTGTATCCCTTCTTTGGCACTCCCTGACAGTGCTGCTGGTAGCTCAGACGAGGCTGGGCGGAGGAGCGTCAGGAATGCACTTGTACAGCTAATACTGTGACATCTCATTGTAGCTAAGCATCAGAATAATTCTTGGAGCCCAGCATAGTCCTTTCTGCTCCATTCAGAAATGTTTAGACTTTTCAGCCAATCAGTCTCAAATGCCAGAGGTATTTTGAAGGATGCCATAGTCACAAAATGCCATTGATCAGGTTTCTCATTATTACACTACATCCACCAATTTATTACCTTTTTGGCTTGTTGCAATTTCCTGTTTACATGTAGAGTGTAGCCAACTGTTTAAATGTTTAGTTGCCACAGTGTACCAGGAGGAGCTGAGCCAATGACTTTTCCCCAGCTGATGACTAACCCACATCACCACCGTAGATCTTTGCTGCATGTGAGGCTCCTTTTTGTTATTTTTGTTGCTGCAATAACTTCACAACTTTTACAGTCCCTTGAGATGCTGTGATATTTTGGCAGTGTATCACACCGTGCGAGAAGGCACTACTTCCAGAGGCTCTTTGGAGCTGCTGTACTACTGAAAGGAAGCAAAGGAGGTTGTGAAATCCTTATGGTGATAAAGGGGTCAGGGAGTCTCGTTAACCAAATGACTTTGTGGCATCGTGACATCCCTTAGTGCTGGGAACTGCAGATCCCTTGTGCCAGTGCCAGGGTGGTCCAGGTCAGCCAGTGCTGGGGGGGTGAGGGAAGAACAGGTGGATGAAGTTTGGCTTGAGGCAAAGATTTCCATCTTGGGGACTGACCAGCCAGGGTTCTTTGTAAATGTTTTTCCTTGCACACTAATCATCTTGAAGAATACACTAGCTGCTAACTCTAGGATTTGCCTTTAATATGTTGATAGGGCTCAAAAGCAAGGTTTTCTGAATGTGTTTGTTCATGTGACATATTTATATAGTAAATGATGTCTCGCTGCTGTTCAGCACTGTCAACAGGGCGACGTTCTTTCGTTAGCTAAATTAACATCCACTCCCAATCCCTAACTCTCTGCCGGTGATTCCAGCTGGGATTTCTAGCCTCTTGACGTAGCATATCACTAATCAAAGGTGGAAACTCTGCCAAAATGTGTTTGAGCAGCCCCTAGTGAGGAGCTTTGTAGTACTAACAGAAGCGTGGGATGAGGCAGTGGTCCCACCGAGGTGACTGGTTGCCCCCTGGGGCAAGTGGTGACTGTGGATTGTCCTGTCCTTTCCTCTGCTATGTTTTTTTTAATGTGATATTGGATGTTTTGGGGTCGTTCTTTGGCGTTGCAGTCAGTGTTGTTGAAATGCAGCAAAACTGATTTAGGAAAGGTACCTGGATTTTCCTGGGGTTGGAAAGAAAAGACCAAAATGAAACAAAAGGCCAAAATTGGATTGGGATTTTCCATGTGAGCGTGGAGGGTGTGCCCAGAGCATGGTGCTAACACAGCCTTGTGACTTTCAGCTCCTCTGTGACAAAACAGCAGCAGCGACAGCGGGGACAGGCTATACCTGCAAGATCAGTGGGTTTATTCTTTTGCTTCTGTTATGGTTTAAATTTGGTCCAAGTCTCTGGCTTAAATTGAGCTATTTCAACAGGATTCTCTCAACCCATCCTTCTGTAATGTCAAGCATGACTGAATGCTGAATCCAAACGATGGCTATCCCATATTGGCTTTTTTGTATTCAAAAAGAATTGTGTAGTAACCATTTTTACATGTATATCATGTGCAGACCTGGACTATTCCAACAAGTTAATATTTTAATTAAAATAGTTTGCAAAAACTGATTCAGATCAACTGGTCTAAATGTGTGTGTCCCTGTGTGTACCTGGGGGAAGGAAAGCTGTCCCAAACAAGCCTGATCTGGAGAGAAGGCACCCCATGATGCAGAGAGGGACTCAGGGTCAGGCTGTGCCTTGGAGGTACATGAGGAGGCCCTTGGTGCTGAGAATTTTAATGTATCTTGGGTATATTTCTGAGATGCATGAGCAGCCGTACGCTAGAGAGACGCAAACACTCTGAATCAGTTTGCAAACTCTTTATTTTTAAAAGTGAAACCAATTACTCCATCCTGTACTGTTTGCAGTCGTGCCCTAACTTTGGTTTTAAAAATGCTGTAATCTGTAAATTGTGGAAACTACTCCAGTACCTCAGCAAAGATGTTCTCTTACATCTTTTATGTTTGTATTTAACACTGGGGAAACTCTTCTGTGTGGACTACTTTGCAAACTTTATTGCAGTGTTTTCAAGTCACCACCTTGACCCTTGAAATCTCTTATTCTGGTTATTTTTCTCTCCTCTTTGCAAAGACCTAAAGTTCTAATGTAGTTTAGCCCAGAGATGGAAAAAAAAAAAAAAAAAAAAAAAGAGGAGCCAGTATTTTAACCTCTTTCTGATTTCATTTTTCTTTGGGTTTTATTTAATTAAAGTCAGTGAAAAGGACCACATTTTCTTGTTCTCCATGGTCCCGGGGAGTCAGCAGCCACCTTTCCCTTCCATGTTGAACATTCCATGCTTTCTTCCTTGGATGCAGCTCTGAAATGGGGCCACGGCTCCGCTTCACCTGCATTTGCTCCTCTGAGCTTCAAAGGGGTTGAAGAATTTGCTGTGGTATGATACCAAGCTTTCCACAGAAAATTCCCTGCAGCCATTCCTTGCCTGGCTTGGGGCCAGGCTGGCACAGCTCTGTGTCCCACCCAGCCCTCCCACTCCTGATGAAGGTGCATTGCACACTAGCTGTGATCTGCACGGGTGCAAACTGCTCCATCCTGGGATGATGCTGTTTATTTTAAACCCCCTCCCCAGGGAAAAGGGCCCCTTGCACTCCAGGCTGCCCTGCCCCTCAACCCTGCTTACGTGCCATTTCTTGAAAGGCAATAAATTGTATTGTACCACTGTCTAACATTACTCTGTTGAATACGCACATCTCTCTGGATATATATATGGTATCTCATCTGTATATATTTATATACTCTGTATGTATGTGTGGGTATACGTGCACACACCCATCATGCTGTGCATTTCTGTCAGGGCACTTCAGTTCTGCTGTTCTGTAGCACTCCTGTTCATGACCAAAAGCAACCCCTGCAGCAGGGCAAGGGCACATAGATCTGCACAAGCTGTGCCAGGGCTGAGGGCAGCCAAAAAGCCCTCGCTTAAATACTGCCCTGCTCATTGCAGCTTGATTTTTTTGGGGGCATGGGAGGGCAGGCTAGCTGCTATGGACGTGCTGTAAAGGAGATAAGAGAGCTTCCAGAGGGTAGCAGAAAGTCAGAAGACAGCAGAGAAGAAAACAAAGGTGGTACAGTGATAGGAAAGCAGTTGAGGCAATGTAGGGATGTGCTGGGGAGGTGATGAGGGGGCCAGTGAAGGGCTCAGCAGGCTGAGCTCAGAGTCCCCGGCTGTGTCTCCCACCAGGGATCCACAGCCCATGGTCTTGGCACCCTGTGCCCACACCAAGTTCAAGGCACTGTGTGGAGGAGCAAAAGAGAGAAGCTAAGTTGGAAGATGTGAGAGACATGTGTGTATGTGTACAGCTCATACACACACATAGATGCACACGTAGAGATGCTTCTGGTGCATTATTTATTCTGCTTGGGCAGTGTGTTCTGTCACTCAAGCCCAGGGAGCAGAGGACAGCCTTGGTTCTTCTGCCTGCTTGCTCTGCACCTGCAGTAAATCTTAGCCTGGTCTTTCTCGTAGCAGAGGGGTGAGTGCTATGCTGGACACCATGAGCTCCTCGAGCTGTGAAGACCCTTCTAACCTTCTCCTTTATCCTCTACAGACCCCATCTTGGTGAGACATCAAGCAGTTTGGGTGATAAATAGTTCTCAGAAGCGTTTATCCAGCTGTGATATTTACTCCCCAGGGAGGCCCAGCCAGCTCAGCAGCATGCCAACCATGGGCTCTCTTCTTTGTGCTGTCAGAAAATTTGGAGGCAGATTTCCCTTCTGACCTTTTTGGAAGGTTTCTTGGTGAGTTTTTTAGATGAGGTTTGAGTTTGATTGAGACATCCTCATTCTGTCTCAACAAATAGTGTTGTCTTGAGCTGTGCTTCTGCCTGTGGGACTCCACCCCAGTGCTGGCCAGCAGTGACACCGGAGCCCTGTGCCAAGGATGGAGGAGTGTTGGATGCCCAGACAGGGACACCAGTCTGTCCCTCTGCTGTGTTTGTTTCAGTTTGCACTTTTATGAGTTGATTGAGCGGGAGTCGGTTGAGAAATAGGTGTGAGGCACTTGGGAGGGTTGTGGGTAGCTGTTTACAGCAAAAGAGAAAAAAAAGAATAAGCTGATGGATCCAGTGGTCATAGTAAACATCACCCCACCAGGGAACGATGAGAGCAGATAACCCCAGTTCCTGTTGCACAATGTGGTTCAGCCAGCTGGGGCTGTGATGCTGCATCCCTGCCCTGCCCCTTGGCCCAGGCTTTGCTGGGGAAGGATGGGCCTTTGTCAGCTAAAGAGGGATTTAGTAAATTGGATTTGCCGGCAAACAAGCACCTTAACCACCGAGCTGTGGGTCTCAATACTTGCACTTCACCTGGAGGATCCTCTGCGGGGGGGAGGAAGGCAGTTTGGTACGTGACCGTTGGCTTTGCACCCATCCAGCGTCCTCAAAAACATCCTCAAGCCATGTTCTAGGGAAAAAAGACAGCCCCAACATCGGTTCCCCTCTCTCCTTGCTTTCTCTTGAGTGCACACACTGAGTCCAGGAACCAGGAGGGGGGAGCATTGCCCCCACAGATGTGAACAAACCCGGGGGGATCTTCCCCCCCTGCCTCGCCCCTCCGGTCCCTTGCCCCGCTCCCTGCCCTTGAGTACGGGTACCTCAGAACATGCACAGTTTGAATTTTCACTGACAATTAGTTTAATTATTGTGAGTGAAAAGAATTGTAAGTATCTGTAAATATGTAGTTAACAAATTGACCTAGTTTCTGTATTTTTTAAGTTTTTGTACTAAAATTTATAGATACAGTATGTGCCAGCTAGCAAAAAGCTACTGTAATTGCCAGTCGTAGTTCAGCATGCATCTAATCCCCGGGACTTGTCACAGTGATGCTGTAAGGAATTGTGCTTAAATATTGTGAGCTCGGGGTGGGGGGGGAGGGCACAGCCGCTGGGGGGGCCGATGGCTGCTCCTTGCCCGTGGCTTTTGTCTCCCAGCCCTGGGCTGGGTTTTCCCTGTTGGCTGTGGGTGATGTCCTACCCACGGCAGCGTGAGGGACCCAGCGGTGCCTTCAACTTCCTCTGGGGCTAAACACAAGAGGAGCTGAGGTTGGGTTCTTTGCTGCAGTTCAGTACCAGCTTGTGACTCTTTTTATTTTTCAACCTCTCTGGAAAGGATCTGTTTTCCCCTTCTGACTGCTTTTGTCTTAAACTGGAGAGCATCTAAACCTACTGGAGGAAAAAAGAAATTACTTACATTTAAGATCGTTGCCTGCTTTTAGTGCCAGGATCACACATTTCTATGGCAACTCTGAGCTCAGCAGAGTCCAGCAATCAGCACAGGGTTGTTAACAAGCTGAAGGACGTTGCTGCTGCTATTGCATGGCCCTGGCAGAGCCTGATGGCAGCTGGGGGCAGCTGCCAAGGGCGACTTTATTGTGTGAAGCAGGGGCTTGCGGGGGTCTTAGTGTCCCTGGCTTGCAGTGTGAGACCTGCTGCTGAGGGAGGGATGGGCTCCCACCACGCTTCCTAGGAATGAAGGGACGACCTGTGCTTCTTGGCTTGTGGAGGATAGCTTTGCTGAGCACCCCAGGAAGCTGTGAGCAGAGTTGTGAAGCCGAGCTCTCCAGGTCTGGTTGTCCCGGAGGTTGTAGAGGACAGGAGCTTGTAAGGATTTGTGCGTTGGAGGAGAAGCATAGGTGCACGTACGGGTTTGGCTTCTGGCAAGCAAACCACCCCCTTCCTTTCTTCAGCTTTTCTTCCCTCCTACCCCCCTGCAGCTCTTCCCCATGCTTGCTTGGAACAGGAACATTTTTTACCTGCCTAGAAACAGCTACAAGATGGGGGGCGGCCCTGATGTAAATAATTAAACGTTACAAAGTGAAGTGTGTATAAAAAGGCGACAGCCCTTTGGTGACTTGTAAATGCTTGAGAAGGTTGTGTTAAGACGTGGAGGGCCAAGGGACCTGCCTGGGGCTCTGCAGCCATTGCTGCCCCCCCAGGGGCCAGGGGGCCCCACCCTGGGAACCTTAGCTGTGGGGAACCCCCTTGGTTCAGTGGATGGGAGGGTAGTGTAACGTGTGTAATAAGGATAGGAGAAGCTGTGTGAGGTGTGTATAGTGTATATTTTTTAAAAATAGCTTGCTTGTATTGTGAAGATTTTAAAGACAAACTTGAGAATTCTAGCCTAACTATTAACACAAGTTTTAACATCAGTTACCCCACTGGGTTCAGAGCCTCTTGAATGTATATTCCTTTTTGTAACCTAAATGACCTATTCTTCTACCAGTCAGCCAGACATCCTATTTATATTTTTAATTTTATATATTACTTTCCATTTGTTTTCATTATTTCCAGCATGTTTCTGGGTTTGGCTTTTATTTGTTTGGGGCTTTTGTTTTGTTTCTTTTTGCACAAGCATTGTGTGAAGTCAAGGAAATGTTAACTCAAACCTGGTATTTTCCAACCTGTTCCCCCCCCCCCTTCCTCTCCTCCACCCGTTGTTTGTTGTTTTGTTTTTTTCTTTCTTCTGCCATCAGTTTGGGATTTTCTGGGGTGGGAGGAGGGGATGGCTCTTTTCCATTTGCAGCTTCTGTGCAAATGCCAGGTCTTTTGCCAGTCAACTAAAGACGCTTCTCTTGCTGGTTGCTTTAAAAAAAAAAAAATAAACAAAAAAAAAAACAAATAAACAAACAAATGGTTAAAGAACAAAAAAGTTACATTCTTTGGAGCCATACTCATGCTCTTCATTTTTTGTGTTACAGCATCAATCTACTGTTCTAAAGAGGCAATACAGTAAAAATCTTACAGCAGTGAAGACAATATATCTTATGACCTTTCCACTTAATTGCCTATAATATACTACACCTGTCCATTACAATATATGCTCTTAAATAACCTCAGACTTCATAGATTGTGTGCTTCAGTGAATGTCTCCAAGACTATGAAAAATAATGGACTCTTTCC